TAGGGTTTGGCCAAATAAGATGAAGAAAGAGCATTACACTTTTAAAAATTATATTTGTCCATTTTTCTATTTATGTGTGTGCAAGCTGCTGTTCACGTACCAGAGTATGTGTGATCAAGATCAGAAGCCCATTTTTTAGGAGTTGGTTTTCTCCTTATACCGTGTGTAGGTTCCAGGGATCAAACTTAGGTCCCAGGTTTGGCAGCAAGTGCCTTTACCTACTGTGTGTTTTAAAGCACTTAGCTCTAAGATCTTCAGGACAGACTTATTTTTTCAAGCAGTTGCTAGGAAAGCCATACAGCAGGCAGATAAAAACAGACAAGACCTAAATCCATTAGGAGATAAAGGCTCAATTTATTTCCCATCACTGCAAGATCCTGACAAGAGATGGGTATGGTACCATGAGCCTCACAGCACGGTGCAGACTCAGAGCCTCAGAAACCAGCACACGGAAAGAATCCTAAGAAATGCAGTAGGCATCCCTAGCTCCTTAGAACCCTTCCTGAAATCATTCAAGAGCTGCTACAAACCCAAAGTGCAGGGAAAATATGGCAATAGACTGTTTGGAGAGCCTCTGGTTCATAGCAAGGGCCTGTCTAAGCAGGCATGGCTGCCTGAGTGGCACAGCTTCAGCATCAAGAAAGCAAAGATGGATTAAAGGCTACTTAAGTTACTTGTGTAAGTGAATCAAGAAAAGGGGCTTTGAGAACAGCATGCTCTGTATACAGTGAACAACACTAGGGGATGCTATTTAGATCCCCGTGACATTAAACTTTCAGACATCCCTAACATGGGTGTTACCAGTTTCTATGCTGCTGTGAAATCCGGCTCTCCATTAGAGCTCATGTTAGCTTCCTTCACTATTTTCCTCCACGCTACCTATGAGTCAAATCTTGGATTTCAGTAGCAAAAAAGGATTGTCAATAATTAGGCCTGGAATGTACCCAAGCTAACAGTACGAAATAAATGCTCCTCATGACACAACGCTACTGGCTGCATTCACACCCAACACCCAACAAAGTCCTGCAGGGCGAGGCGAGGGGAGCACTTCAGCACCACTGTGCACAGATAATGACATACACAAAATTGGAAAGCGACAACCCCTCTACCACACACATGTAAAGCAAAGCAAAAGAGCCCCATGGTTGTGTATTACAGGGACTTTGGCCTCACGTGGCAACTTCAACTCACAGATAAGGAAACCGGGTCCTACAAAAGTTCAAGATGACCAGACTGCACAAGATGACCATCTCACTGCAGCCTCACTAGACCAAGCAGAAAACAAACAAAGTCATTTCCATGACTAGCTGACTCATCAAAGGATTAAAAAAATCTTGGGGAATGCTTTACTATCTGGAACTGGACATCACAGGTCCCAGAAACGTGTAAATTCTGGAAAGTGTGCGCAGGATCAGGAACTGGTACAGAGCCACTGTAATGTCATTTCACAAGTACATAAAAGTTCATTTTCAAGTCCCTGTCACTGGCATCATCCCTAAGAACTGCTCAAGGGAAGGGCAGAGCTTCCCATCAGATCACTGGGGCTAGGCTGGATTCAGACGAGCCCTAGACAGAAACCAAGGCAAACTGCAGTATTCCAAAGTAATGCCCTACAAGCTCAAGAAGCCATTCCCTGGAGGAGTCAGAGTTGCTGAGAAAGGAGAGCTGGGGAGAATCATATCCAAGAGTACAGTCCTGTCATTTTCTAAGGCTCTTGGGAGCACTGAGGGCTAGCTTCCCCAACAAGCTTTGAGTAAACTCCAGCCAGGGATGGGACTGGAAAAGTAGCCTGCAGGAAAGGCAGCTTTCCATCTGTAGAGCTGAGTGACAGGTCATGGAAGAACCTGCCCCTTTCCCCTGAGCATCATGATATCAAACTTCAGGGCATACTCTGCACAGGCCCAACCTCCTCTTTTAGCTGGTTATGAGATATTTGTTGCTGAAACTGAGTTTTCTGGCTTTTTCCTTTTTTTTTTTTTTTAACTGAAAATCTTTCTAGCATGTCTGGCTTGGAATGGTTATTTATTGAGAAGACAGACAAATGCTAGACCAAGGAAAAGCACCAGAAAAGACTAAACCAGTAAGTTACATTGCAAGACTTTTGTACAGTAAGTAGAAAATGTAGATCAAATTGCCTTAATTCCTAGAGTGACAGAGTTGGGCTGGCTTCCTAGACTACACACCTTTAGGCGTCCTGTGATGATTATTCTACCTAGGTTAAGGACATGGGACAGACTCATACTTTTAGATTTGTAGACTGAAAACATCACAAACCTAAATGCTTGTATTTGTTCTGTTTCAACAAAGCTACATTTTAAAAGTCAAGCAGCACTGGTGCCAAAAGTTATTAAACCGAGCTGAAGAAATGGCTCACTAGTTGTGAGCACTGGCTCCTCTTCCAGAGAACACAGGTCCAGTTTCCAGCACCCATCTGACCATCTCACTGCAGCTCCCAGCCGTCGGTAACTTCAGGGAATTTAACGCTCTCTCTGGTTTCTGCGGGCACGGCACCCATGAGTGCACAGGCAGCCACGCAGGCAAAACATCCAGACACATAAAATAAAAACAAATAAATCAAAAAATATAGATTGAACTGTAAGATCAAGATACATTGGATGTAAGTATGAAATTATCAAAGAGTAAAATATTCTAAAAATAAATAAAAACAAAAAACTAAGCTGTGTTTTAAGTAGTGATTCAGATTACTTTGAAATACTCTTGAAATTGATAATCACAAGACTGTTCTAGGAATTAACAGTCAAACAACACACTCTGTCAATAAAGAAAATTTGATTTATTTATAAAATATTAATATTATTTTCCCTACCAATTGCAAAAAACAGTTGAAAATGAAAATCAAAATGGGTCAGTCTATGACCATGCTTGACAAACATTTAAATCAGTGGTTCTCAACCTTCCTACTGCAATTTTTAATATAGTTCCTCATTTTGTGGTGACCCCCTACCATAAAATTACTTTTGTTGCTATTTTATAACTATAATTTTGCTACCATTATGAATCTCAATGTAAATATCTGTTTTCTGATGGTCTTAGGCAACCTTTGTGAAAGGGTCATTTGACCCCCAAGGGGTCAAGGCCCACAGCTTGAGAACCACTGATTTAAATGCTAATATACTATAAGCCATCAAATTTTGGTTTTATGTCAAATACAAATGATACTGTCATCTGCAACAGTGGGGTCGGGAGACTATGCATAATAAACTTGGATTAGACTCCTAGTTCAACTACCAAGCACCAGTAACCTTGACAGACAAGTTGGTAACATCCTCTGAGACACTATTTTTCTACTTGGAAAGTGATAGACAGACACGGCCCACAGATCTATCCTAACCAGTGGACAGACTTGTGTGAAGAGCTGTAGTGTGTCTGAAACTCATTATACATTTCTTTGTAGGTGCCTCAGAGATTAAATGACACAAAATCACACTGCGCCCCTTTTTTGTCATAGTAGGGAAATGGAGCCAAGATCAAGTCATTCCCCAACCACTCACAGCTAGGCAGGTAAGATCTGAAACACAAGCAGATCTCAAAATACTCAGCTCAGTGCTCTTTTCAACCAGTTAATCTGGAAATGTAACACAGGCAAACCTCTGATGTCCAACGGAAGGAAGGCAACCATTCATTCAACACACTCACTGTGGCACTGGGAACTCTTTGTGAAGGTCCCAGCAAGAAACAAAAGAAAAATCCTTGGCCTTCTGAGTTTATACTGAGGTTGAGACAGATACACAAAGATGAGCAAAACACAGGGTCCATTACAGTGCTAAGTGCCATGGAGAAGGTGGAGACAGCCAGTGTTTCAGAATGTGCAACTTTAGAGCCAGGTGCCACATAGGATTTGCAACAATTCCTCATCCATTGTAGTTTTCCTAAGCATTTCAGGACAAGAACTACTCCGGATACGGGAAAGGTCTGGCCTACAGATCTAATTTGATTGATTGCCCTAACCTCTGAACTGCCAGCTATGAGCTGTCATATTGGTGATCTACATTTCATATTAACAAAGACACCTGACCCCGCCAGTCCACAAAGAGCACAGTGTTACAAGGCAAGGCTAGGAGAGAAGCCAGAAGTTTCAAGGGCACTTGGATTGTTTCTGAGTTTGAACGTCTCCAAAAGCAAAGATTAAAATACAGCATTATGTGCTGAGTTCTGCTGTGACAGAGCTCTAAGAACGGCACACACATAATTTTCCATTTTCTGACCTGCCAATTCTAGTGACATTGTCTACCATTCGTCTATATTTAACCAGCTTACTAGGCACTTTCTCCAGCTTTCAGCGTCCCTACTCCTGATATTAAAAGAGCAACTCAGTTTGCCTGAAGGGAAGTTGCTAAAGACAGCAGCCCTCCTTGCAGATCCTGGCCCGCTGCTCTAAGCTTGATCTCAACCTTTTCATTAACCGGGTAAATTGGGCTAAGGTTTGTGTCACTGAAGTTTTACAGTGCCCACTTGGTGGTTACAATGTCCGGGTCCTCGACCGCAACTGTATTCAAAGAATGACAGTGGGTCTTTTCAAACTCGCAACAGTTTAACCAGTTTGTAACGAGGGAGTGGCAAAATGACAGCTGGGCTTTGAGGGTGGGGCTGGAGGTTTCCCATCGAGATCTCACAGGAGTCTCCTTCTCCCTACACCGTCGGTGTTTGGCTTCCCCGCGCAAAACCCGGCCCGGCCCACTGTGCGGTGACTCGGAGGTAAACTTCTGCGGGGCTCGGCGGCCGGGCGGGGCCTGATGGAGCGAAGGGGCGGCTCTTCCGGAGCAGCCCCGCCCTGCTCGCGAGTGCGGGTCCCGGGACGGTCTGTACACCGTGTTCGGGACTTTTGCGGACCTCCCGGCATTCCGGGGGCCCGGCGACCTCGGTGGGGAGGGGTCCTCCGGGAGAGGCCCACGGGGGCCCGAGGGGCGCGGCGGAGGAGACTTATAGCAGGCCAGAGAGAGGGAGGGATGCGGAGGCGATGGGCGGCGGCGCCCGCTCACCTGATGTACGGGCTGGCCGCCGCCAGGATGTTCTTCTGCACGGGGATCTCCTCGCCGTCGAGGACTAGGTGCGCGTCGCAGAAACGCGCCTCCTCCCGGAACGAGCTGAGCGCCCGCAGCAAGCGCGCGGCGTGCTGAGGGTCGGACACAGCGCTGCCCTCGGCCATCGCGCCTCCCGCTCCTCCGCCGCCACCCGGCCGGCCCGCTCGCCCGCCCGAATCCCGCGCGCGTCCCCGCCGGCCGCTCCGTGCGTCCGCCCGTCCGGACTCGGTGAAGCTCTGTAGTCAGAGCTGGGAGTCCAGCAACGCGCCTGCGCCATCGGCGGCGCGTGCGGCCGGCGCCTTTAAGTAGCCGTGGGATTGCGTCATCTTTCCGCGACGGGCCCCCTCGCGTCCCGCCCACCTCGCAGCAGCCAATCAGAAGCCTTCTTCCTCCGGGGCTGGACTCCGAGCCGCGGGCGCGCCTTGCGCTGGGTGCGGGAAGAAGGCCTCAGCGGATCGTTGGACTCGGCTTGGAATCCGAGTCTCGGCCGTCCGATAGTAAACAGTGCGGACAGGGGAGAGATGGAGAGTAAAGCCGGGAACTTATTTCTTCCGCGGGAGCTACGTCTCGCTAGGCTACGTCCAGTATTCCCTGGCAGAGCGCGGAGTCCGCCGGAAGCCTTTGCTGAAGATGTCGCGGATGGAGAAAGAGAACAAGCAGTTTTGCAAGGCTGTGTCAAGGAAGTTGTTTTCCTTCCTCAGGGTCTGCGGTGGGGGGGCCAGGAACAATGGAAGGGTTTTAAATAGGACTATAGGGGTAAGGTGTTCAGACTTTACTAAGATTGGGATGTTTAAGGCAGATCGCTGGGCTGATGCGAGGGCTCTGTGGTATATGCACACACACCCCGACTCCCCCACCTTCCATACACACACTCACAAGACTACAGTTGGGAAGGAGAGGGAGAACAGCTATCTGCATGGATATGAGTTTCTACCTTTCAGGGAAGATAAAGTCTGAAAGGTGCGGGGTATAAAGGCCAGATGTTGAAATGGTGGGTTCCCACACAGGCAGATCATGGCTGTGACAGATCATGGCTCTGGGTTAGCTCACCCTGCAGTGCAAGCCTCATACGGTCTGAAGTTTCCCTGGAAGTGTTTGGGAGTGGAAGAAGTAGCTACCATTTCGTGCAAACATTAGGTGCTCAGACCTCTGCAAAATTACATTTTATGAGGACCAAAGATCAGAACATTTGGGCAGCCTTCTAGGTAATGGGGTTTTTACTGCACTAGCACAGCCTTCCTTAGGCTTCCAAAGTCCCCAAGGAAAGTGTTGGGTCTTCAGCCTGGGCTTTGGAGTCACTGGTAGGAATCAGAGTATAAACCATACTCTCAGGGCAGAACAGGTGAGGCAAGGAAGTTTCGAGTGGAGGCTCCATTTACAGTTCCTTTTTCAAACACAGCTCAGTATGTATGGATGTAGTGATAAAAATATCTAGACTCTAAGCTGGGCAGTGACGGCGGACACCTTTAATCCCAGCACTAGGGAGGTAGAGGCAGGTGGAGCTCTGTGAGTTCAGGCCAACCTGGTCTACAGAGTGAGCTCCAGGCCATCCAGGGCTACATAGAGGAACCCTGTCTTGAAAAACCAAACCCCCCCCCCCAAAAAAAAAAAATCTAGAATTTGTGTCAACACCAAGGTCTGGGGGAAAGCAGAGAGGAGTAGAGATAAAAAGGGACCATCAGTTACTAATCAGTAAAATTGGTAGTGGGCTGTGTTGTATAATTCTAGCCTCTGTGTTTGTGTCTATTGAGAAAATATAAAATTGTGCAAGTCTGTCTTCTCCATAATACTGGCATAGCACTTATGGGCACAGTCAGCACTCGTTTAAGTAGTTGCTGTCTTTTGAACATTGCTCTCTAAGACACTTTTTTAAAAATCTGTATGACTAGTAGCTTGGGACGATTTCCAGGTGCCAAGAATTTGGTAACAGCATACTTGGTACCTAGTACTACTTACTTAGGATTGGATGGATGGCGGATGGTGTTTTATTTCATCTTTAAGTGTGAATACGAAGCATCAAATAAACATTTTCTGGATTGTAGTTTTTGCTCTTGTTCGTTTTCTCTCGATCGAGCTGTTGTCAAAAGTGGATGATGGGGGGCCAGGGATGGTTCAGTCCATAGAGTGCTGTTCGAGCATGAGGACCTGAGCTCTATACCCAGCACCCATGTGAACGGCAGGTGCAGCAGGGGACACTTGGCAATTCCAGCTGGGGTTGGAGAAGGCTCCGGGTGGCCGGCAAGAACATCCCTGGGACTTGCTGGCCAGCCAGTTTAGCCAGAATCAGAATCCTAAGGAACTCTGTCTCAAAAGTAATGTAGAAAAGTGACTGAGGAAAGACACCTGAGGTCAGCCTCTGGCCTCTTCAGATGCTTGCACACCTACCCCCAACAATGCTGTAGATGACTAGGAGAGCTTTACACAATGCAGGTATTTGATAAGAATGTCTTAGTTGATAGTAAAGGTGGTCTGGTCTTCAAATGTCAGAGGTTCTGAAATAAACAGCTCGGATAATAGAATGATGGTCAGTGATCTGAGGATGGGAGGGCGAGGAGATCAGGCAGACTCTTCTGGTGGAGATGAACTGCCAGTGTTTCCATCAGGAGGAAAGAATGGCGTGAGTTGGGGAGAGTCTCCTTGCAGTTGTTATCAGTCGGGAGGAAGGCGGGTACTGGCCGGAAAGGTGCACCTGTGCGACAGGACACAACGCCACCTCCACTGTTTCCAGCCGTCCCCACTGCTCAGCCTTCTTGCTGAACTCTGAGTCACCCTTGAAACGCAGCTCAAACACGGCCGTCAGTAAGCCTCCTCCTTGTCCTGCCTCCCAGGACAAGGTAGGCAAGCGCTGTGTTTATCACACTGTGCTTTATTAGTTTATTGTGGTGCTGGGATCCGGCTCAGGGCTTTGTGTATGCTGCTGCAACGTCGAGCCAACTCCCCATCCCGGCATTTCTGAACCCCTGCTGTACTACGCTGCCTGCCGCGCGCTTTCTTCCTCTGCTGGGTTGTGGTGCCAGCTGCATCTGTGTTCCTTGGGTCCTAGCAGACGCCCCCACCTCATGCATTAGTCAGCAAGTCAGGTAAGAGGGCGATGTAGGATGCTGAGCTGATGAGCACATGCCCTCAACCCCAGCTGATTGTCACATGGGATTAAGCGGTAGCACTCGGGGGAAATCGTCTCATGGGTCTGCAGCCAAGATCTGGCTTTAATCCCGTTTCAACGATCATCAGAAAACCGTCACTGCAAAGGGAGTTGATCCCACATGATGATAGGCTCACGGTAAAATGTGTTCAGTTGAGTTCAGGTGTCCCAGAGGCATTTAGCCTTCTGCTAAGGGGTAGGAGTCCTGAGGGTTAGAGGAGCAACTTTCCCCCACCCCCTCAGAAGGGCACTCGTGGTCAGGCCTTGGAATGCTTTGCAGCCATTCTTGATATTGCTCAAACTGATCTGTCCTTGATATTAGTGATGATCATCGAAGTTGTGCATACAGTGTTATTGTTTTCCAGCATTCCATAGGTATCAGATAGCAGTTATTGTGAAACATGCCATCTGAGAGATCCCATACTGCCTGGCCAGTTTCAGTCTCTTGTCAACACTGAGCCTCCCTTTCTCCTCCCCTCTCCTCCCCTCTCCACTTTATTTCTTCACTGATCATGTATCATGTTTACAGTTGAGAAAAGAGAACAATTTCCATTTGCAAAAAAAATAATATTAAAAGCTTTCTTCTGTTGAAAACTGATTTCTTGAGAGAAATATCCTTTTGGGAATTTGGGCTTTTATTTTAAAGTAACTGTTAGCAAAAGACAATAAATACTGTAACAAGGAAATAATCAGGAGTTTGAAAACATGGGCTTGCATGGGCTCGATTTATTGAAGAGAAATTTCAAGTTCAGATGAGTCAAAGGCTCCATCAAGGTCATTTGTGAGACTGAGTTAGGACAGAAAAGACTGAGGTCAGATTTCTGCCTTCCAGCCCTGTAAGCTTGGCCATTCTCAAAAGCTAGTTCTTTTGGTTTGGTTGAGACGGTCTCTTCTGGTTCATTTTAAGGTAGTCTTCAGACATTTTATTGGGTAAATCTGTCATTTGTCCAAATCCATAGATAGCTCTTTCTGAAAAGCCTAAGTGCTTCCCAATTGCTGAGTCAGAGAACAGGTCAGTGTTTATGATGCCTGGGAGTTGATTCCATATACCTCACAGCACTCAGCGAAGTGTCTCAGAAAGCTAACCAGGGAGCTAATTAAACTGTAGCGAAACTCCATGGAGGCAGAGACTGTCCTTGAACCCCCACCCAGGATCTGTCCCAGTGCCTGGCACACACTAGGTGTTCCGTGCAGATTTGCAGAGGGAATAAATGTTATCAGGGATGACGGATATTTTAGCATCCCTACCGGATAACTGCAGGGGCTGTTTCCCACAATTCTCCACCGACCTTCAAACTGGCTTATTCAGTGATAGCCTGACACTTCCACTGGGATAGCTAGTGACCGTCTGCAACTTACACAGGTCACAAAATAAACTCATGAGGGTTGGAGAGGTGGCTCAGCAGGTAAGAGCACTGGTTTTCCAACGGACCAGGGTTCCATCCTTAGCACCCACATTGGGGTTCACGGCCATTTGTATAACTCCAGCCCTAGGGGAGCTGACTCTGTTGTCCGGGCTCCTCAGGCACTGCATGTACATGAAATACACCCAGACATACACAGAGATAAAAAAAAATAATAAAAATAAATAAAACCTCTTAAAGTTACAAACACCCAATTTGACCCTTCAAACCTAATTATATTCCTTCCAAGTGGTAGTGGTACATTGATAGTATTTGCTTATGTAATGGCAGAAAATGGGGGTCTTTTTAAGAGGGATGGTGCTGGTGATGGAACCCAGAATCTTGTGCACACAGGCCAGCAATATAGCAGTGATCTGTATCCCTAGCTGTGGCTGGGGCCTTCACCCCACTCTCCAGGAAACCCCATAAACCCCCAGGCAGGCTGTTCTGCACCCAGCCATTTCAGCTCCACCAACACTGTTTGACCCATCCCCGCACAGCCCTTCTGCCCTCCCTCTGCCCTTCTTGGGAGTCCTTCCTCCCGGACAAGGTAATCAAATAGAGCCACTTCTGGTTTCTGAAGCCTCGGATGCTTTCCGTCAGACTTAGGAAGAAAAAGACCCGAGTGACCTATAGCCTACATCCTGTGTGATCTATAGCCTTCATCCTTTGTGACCACATCCTCCGAACATCCCTTCTCAGTGTTCGCTTGCCACACTGGCCCTCTTGCTCT